AATTTTTGCTTGATTAACGTTAGAAAATTAAAAAACCTAGTCTAAAGCTTTTGAGTTCAGCTTTCAGTAAATTTTGCATTTATTTTTAACAGGACAGGTTGATCCCATTTTGAACGGTCATCTTACCGAGCCGGAGAGGCTTTGTGGATGGCCGTGCTGCTCCCGGCATGCCCTGCAGTGCACACTGCTGTCCCGCCTTGCCTCCTCTTCCATTCAGATGCGCCATCGAATTAGGGGAAATCTGACTTGGGAAATACTTTGCGTTCAAATGTGAAGTTATTTCGAGTGTAAATGTTGAGATCTGTTTCTCAGTATACTCCATTTGCTACGCATGCTCTGACAGTGTGCACGGATTGTGTGGCATAGGACTTTCAGAGTCCAGACCAAGCTGCCTCTTTCACCACCCCGACTGAAATATTTTGGCAAGAGCCCTTCTCTCTGTGTTCCTTCTTCTATCTGGAGGCAGAGCGTACATCAAGGTGGGCTGCTGGCCCCGCACATCCTCCCCTCAGAAGCCTGGTGGCCCGTCTGGAGCACCTTCCACCTCTGTTCGTGCCCCGGCTGACCTGAGGACATGGCTCCATCCGGGCTCCAGTCCCGTCCCAGGCCTGGGGGCAAAGTGAGATGACTCACTCACTGGGGCAGCGCCCCTTACCCTACATAGTCACATGCTTCCAGACCTCACCCCAGACCCCAACTCCAATCTGCTGTTTAGTACCTGAATGTCATCAGCACACAGCTAATCTTTTAGGGTCTCTCTGATGGCATATAATATATCTTGTAAAACTGTGTATTAATGGATATTCGCATGAGAAGTGATTTTTCAGGTATAATTTGAAAGAGAAACTCATTGCTGGAAAATCAGGGAAACTGCGAAGTTTAAACACATACACTATGAACTTTTTCAATAATAAATGATTAACAAAGTCTATGGGAATTTTTTGAGCCCTCTTCCCACATTATCCCTGGACTACCAGCCATGGTCATTAACAGCAGTCAGGCGTCCTGAGTGTGTCCACTGTTTACGGGCCGAGCCACCCTCATCACGTGGGGTCAGGCCCGAGCAGCCTCAGCTTGGCTGTGAAAACCGGCAGTCGTGTAATGCCCTGACTAGGTAATTTGAAAGTTGCCCTTTGGGATCTATATATTTTAATTGTGAAACCTTAATTCATGAGCAATTTTATTCAATAAGGAACAAGTGTGGGGAATTGCACAGAACTAAAGAAAAATCCACCAGGCCAATTACACCTACTCTGGACCCTGAACAGCTATGGCGCCGGGCACGTTGTGCCTGAGACAGTGCATCTCATTTCATTGTTTGACTTGAGTGTGTCTGGGAGTAGGGACTTCTGCTTTCACTCAGGTTGATATGTTTTTCTTTTCCTTGGTAATTGTTAAAAGACCAAGTAAAACCTCCGGTAAGACTTGGGGAACTTCTGAAAAAGCCCCCTTGCTGAGGATTGCCGAATCGGAGCCGAGCGGCGGCAGAGCTGGCGCCCCCACAGCCTGCCCCTGCTGGGGTGTGTCTGGGTGCACAGGGGCTCGCAGGATGCCGGGAGGGAGCCAGAGGCCAGCCCTGGGCAGTCGGAAAAATAAACCAGACCAGATTGGGTTTGTGTTGGCAGGAGGCACGAGGAAGCCATACTGATGGCCTGAAAGGACGGCAACATCATAATGGGAACAACATTCTCCTCCTCCCTCTAATTACAAAGAAGAAAAAAATCACTAAAGACATGTTTTAAATGTCTTATATAAGAGTTCTTATAACCAAAAGTCACCATCTTAAGCTTTGAAGGCCAAGTACTTTGAGGCAGTTTCTGACTGTGTCTATTTCGGGGTATTTAACACGGTCATGGTGAGGATTCTGTTCCAATAAGTGTCCTTCTGGCTCGTGCTAAGTGTGGAACCTCTAAGAAACAAGGGACACACTTGATTCGATCGCAGTAGAAACTGGGTCTTTGGCCCCTTCTCCAGCTAACTGCCAAGGCAGCCTTGGCTCTGGTTCCATCCCCTTTATCAGTGACCACGAGGACAACCGGCCACCCTTTGGGGCTCAGATCCCGATGCCTGCCTGACACTGACAGGACAGATGCAGACTCCACATTCTCCACAGCTTTCCAGGCCTTTCCGGGCCATGGGAGGGATGAAAAGCCCTTATGATGGAATGACAGAGTGAGGACAATTGTGGCTTCAAAGGCCTTTGTATACTGGGCTCTGCATGACCCTGAGGGCGCAAAAACTGTCCGTCTCTTCAGCATCCCTCCCGTGTGTTTCTTTGTTGTCTCAGTTGCATTGCCTTCAGCTGGACCTTGAGGAGGGTGCAGGTGACAGAAGAAAGGACTTCCATGTGAGCCCCACGTGCTGAAGGAAGAGGACTTAGTGGTCAATGAGGGTCCTTCAGCAGTGGCACCATCTCTTAGGCAGGTAGAAGATCTTTATTTTAGTTTTAAATATTTTTTCTTTATTGATTTTAGAGAGAGAGGAAGGGAGAGGGAGAGGGAGAATATCGATGAGAGGGAACTTCGACTGGCTGCCTCCTGCATGTCCCCCACCGGGGATTTGGTCCACAACTTGGGCATGTGCCCTGACCGGGAATCGAACCGGCAACCTCGTGGTGCATGGGTCGATGCTCAACCACTGAGCCACACCGGCTGGGCAGTAGAAGATCTTTAAATGGTCCTTTCTGCATGCCATTTCAAAGTCTATGACATCATCTTGACCACCCCAATACTCTTGTGAAGTCCTGCCTTGTTTTCATTGCTATCCATGCTTTATTTTCCCCATGTGGTCCTGCATTATCCAGGGTCTATGTCATATCTTCCTATGAGATCATGCCCCACCCATCTTATAAGGCCTCCTCCCCACCCCAACTTCCCAACCTCATAAAGCCTGGCAGTCCTCTGCACTCTGAAAGTGGTGACAAATATGTGCTGAGTCACTTACTCTTTTTTATTTATGTATACCCACCTTATTCTAGAAAGCATTTAAGGTGACTCATAAGATATATAAAATACAGCTGGATGGAATAAATTATTTTCTGATTAAATGTACTCTTGTTCTTTCCAGATCTGAGAACCTAAGGGTTGACATGAAAAGATGCCTTCTGCATAAAAATATACATATAAATAGTATTAAAATATATACATATAGATGCAGTCATATTTCTGAATCTAAAAAGATCTTTCACCTGGTAGCTCACATCTGGTGCCTGGGCCCATAGATTCAGGTGGACACTCTTTGACCTTTATGATAAGCTACTGGCTTCTGGGTGACTTCTGGGTGACCTACTGAGACCCTCTGATTCAGGTTTGTGAGGATTTGAAATAACGATTATTTGTAGAATAGTGATTAGAAATTTTTATAGATGAAGGATAGACATGCTTTTCTGAATGATGATTTACAAGGTATTGCTTAGAGATTATTCCAAAAAAATTCCCTAGGTTCTGAAAATTCATTTGTGTGTACACTAACACTACAAATAGTGTTTGCAGTAGTTGATTTGTTGGTGTCCACCTCCTTCATTTCTGGGGACACTAGTGAGCCCAGTACTAGCCAAGGGGCAGTTATGATGTATTCGTGCATCTCTGTAGACAGCTGCTTATTAGTTAAATGGATCAGAGTCCAATTTGGAGAGACTTAGAGCAACCTGAAAGGTACCTGCAAGATCATCCATTCCAACTTCTTAATCTAAGAGGAACAGGTCCAGAAAGAATGCTTACAGGTTTCTGCTAGACTGGAACTCTGATGTACTCCTTCTTAAAAGAGCTCAAACACTGTTGGTGTTGTTCTGGCCCAGGAGAGTGAGAAGCCATTGGCATGAACAATCCCCCAAAGCCTAGCAGTTTCTCAGCACTTTCTAATGCGTATGGTTTCTCCTCTTCTGGCTGGATGTTTGTTTTCCGAATTACTTTCTTCCAAACGCACTGATGCTGCCTAGTTTTGAGAAGCTGCACAGGTTCTCTAGACTTGGCGGGGCCCTTCCTCTTGTGCACTGTCTGCATCTGGCTGTGACCCACCTGTTTTCCTACCTGTTTCCCCGATGCCCCAGTAAAGGAGGGGAGGAGACTTCCCCAGAGCTGGTGGGAGCAGGAGCCGGCCAGAAGCTGCACAGCTGCAATCATTCAGCATAGGCCCGGGGAGGGCTGGCCCAGCCCCAAGTGGAAATTGTTTTCCATCATCTGCTCCACCTTCTTCACACAAAATATTCTCCTCGTTTCTTTGGAAGGTAACTTTACACTAGCCCGTCTACGTTGAGGCAAGGAGTTGACATTTTAGCAAAGGCGCATTAGCAAGCAGGAATAGAAATTAAACAGCCTAAGAGATCATTTTTGCCCATTCTGACCCTGACTGCGTGGCCTCAGCTGGAATGTGGAGCTCGCACTGTGGAGCACACACTGAAACAGCTGGAATTTATCAATGGACCCCACGTTAACCCATTGGTTCCAGGAGCTGGGATTTCCTGACCCAAAGCACTAATTTTTGCACATTTTTTTCACCTTTCCTTTCTGACTCTTAAAGAAGCAGGAGCACCATGTGTGGGCAAAGAGGCCAGTCTGGGTAGCAGCACATTCCTTCTCCCTCTGCTTCCTGCTATGAACTTAGGAACTTGGAGAGAAAGGAAAATACAGTTTGAATGACCCATTTCTTTACTGTTCCTCACAGGTATGATGAAGCCCCAGGTTCCTGTCCAACACTGTTTCTTTTCCTCTAGCCTTTGAAAAACAAAACCCTAAACAACACTGAAACTCATCACAGCTCCATGAACCAATTAAATACATGTGGGGATCTTGGACTTGAGAGGGGGAATTCCCATTCTCTCAGGAGGGGGTGCTACCAGGTCCCGAGGGAGCTAAGTTCTCTCCTTTCACTGGACCCAGCCAGGAAGAGTAACAGCAGTCTGTGGGTGCATGGACTCAGGACATGGTGTCAGAGGAAGCCAGAAAACAGCAGGGAAACTTCTTACACTCTCTGGCTTAATGTCTCTCTTGTCCCCTCTTCAGAAAGCTGCACCGAGGTCACCCACAGGAGCCTGCTCATAGCGACTATAAAAGGAAACTAAACTACAGAAGATGGAAGGCAAATTCCTACCCAGACCAGTTAGTCTGTTTCCACCTCTGCTGATTAGCTGTAACACCCCTGGTTCATGGACCACTGTGAGGGTAAGTGAGAGAACTTATTTGAGAAATCTTGGTCCAATGCTGGCCACAGGATCCAGTCAGCTGTAGTTCCTGCCGCCCACTCAATATCTGCATCTATGTGCAGGCAGAGATTTCCCTGCAAAGACCACCAATAGGCACAAACATGTCCACGGTCAAGTGGCTGATGGAAAAATATTATTGGTATTTTCCCATGAATTACAAATGTTCTGAACTCATGGTTGAGCTGCACATATCTGCCACATGTTTTGACACTGCTGTAATTAGCTAGTTATTAATAATAGGAAAGGAGCAAGAGGGAAGGCCAGGCATTACAGGCATAGCCATTTGGGCAGCTTCACCAGGAAGCTGCAATTTCACACTCCCCAGGAAACCACCAGCCAATTCCCTGCAAAACACTGGGGGAAGGGGTCCAACAAAAGGGAGGTGGGTGCATGTGCAATGAGTTGGGGTGACTAGGTAAGTTGCCTGTCAGTCAAACCTGGGAAAATAAATCGTTGGCTCAAAGGGATGGGATACATAATCCCCTAAAGGAGTTCTCTCTCTCTCTCTTACTCTTGGCTCTGTGGTTCCTTTGGCTTTGCTCCTGCCCGTGTTCCCTTCATGGCCACGTGGCCCTGTGGACCCCACATGCCAAGGACTGATGGACTGTAGTGGGGAACACAAACTAAAGTAGCCTAATGCTGGGCTGGACACTGCTCCACTATGGAGTGAAAATTCTGGACAATAGCTTTGATTTTAACACTTTTGAAGGCAAAATGGGACTTCTTTCTTGGCAGGACAAAGGGAAATAGGACCTTGGAAACTCAGGGTTTTAATTCTCCAAAAATAAACCTTTCTACAATATCTCATTCTCCCCTGGGGTGCTGAGAAGCATGAGGATAGACAGGAAAAGAGAGGAGACTGCTGCCATGTTTTCCTCCTTTACAATTACGCCCTGGGCAGCCCGGAATGCAAATGGTAACGTGGTCTTTTGAAAAAAGGAAATGAGAAAGGGACGCAAGGATAGCCACTGCTCTTCCCCTTAGACCTGACTTTCATTTGCTTATGAGCACCCTGAAAGACAGCCCAGACTTATGTAAAAGGCCAGGGTGATTTATAAAGAGGTGGAGAGGCAGGTGGGAGAGGAGCAGGTCAGGCAGACATGGAAATGAGATGAAGGCAGCCCCACCTCGCAGGGGCTGCGGGGGCTCTGTTTCGGACCCCAGGGCTGGACCGCTGTCCACAGGAGGCTGCGGACGGAGGAGGGGGTCCCCAAGCAGGCAGAGGGCCTCTGCCCTAACATCACCCAAATGTCCAGGGACGAAACAGCGTCCCAGCACCCCCACCGCTGGGCTCCGCGCTGCAGGGAAAGCCTGCGGTGCTGCTTCCGGAGCGCTCTGATCCTTAATAGAAAGGAAGGTAGAGAATATTGAATTTCTGATTAGGCCTGCTGTCTGATGCTCACCAACCAGTTCTGATTCCTCACGGGCCATGGATCATTTTTATGACTGGTGAATAAATGATTATTATCTACATAATATCACTTCCGCAAAAAGGGTGGGCCTGCGCTGACTCCAGCGCCGCAGCGGGGGTGGGGGAGGGGTGGGGGAGGGGTGGGGGAGGGTGGGGGAGGGGTGGGGGAGGGTGGGGGAGGGGTGGGGGAGGGTGGGGGAGGGGTGGGGGAGGGTGGGGGAGGGATGGGGGAAGGTGGGGAAGGGGTGGGGAAGGTGGGGAAGGGGTGGGGAGGGTGGGGAAGGGGTGGGGAGGGGTAGGGAGGGTGGAGAAGGGGTGGGGAGGGTGGGGAGGGGTGGGGAGGGTGGGGAAGGGGTGGGGAGGGGTGGGGGAGGGGTGGGCACCAGTGCAGACAGAGCCCAGAGTGCGTGCAGCCAGCCAGGCCTGGGGTTCCTTCCCCCGGCCAGGGGGCTGGGCTTGGAGAGAGGCTGGGGGCAAGGTGCTTTCCTGTGTGGTCTGTAACTGGCAGGAGCCCCTCTCTGAGCCATCTCGGCTCTGCCCATGCTCCCCATACTAAGCAGGGTGCTGGCCTCAGCCTCTTCTGGGAGGAGGGAACAAAAATCCTTGTCTGAAGTCCTGGTTTCTTCGGCAGAAGCCGGCTCTCCAAGCAGGATTCCAGTCAGCCTGCAAGGCCACCTGCAGGGGCAGAGGCGGGGCCACCTCCGAGCTGAGTTGAAGTGATAAGGGGCTGCTTTACTGTTTGATAAACAAATGGGCAGGCACCCTCCTCCGGGGTTCCGTCACAGCGCTTTCTTGTCCTGCTATCCCTCGGGACACCCTCTCTAGACCCAACGGCAGCAAAAGCTGTAGGCTGCCCCCGGGCGGAACAATGCAGGCACCGCGTTACGGTCACATTTCATTTTCTTCAGCTGTCACGTCTCACGGAGCCTCAGCCTTTGGAAGACTCACGGTCCCTTTCTGTGTGCCAAACAGCTCTAACTCCTAACTGCCATGGACTGTCAGTTCCCAGTGAAGTCAGAGACTGGCCTGCCAGCCGCCTGGCCACCATCCTGGGGTCTTCACCCTCCCCTCAGTATACAATTTCAGCCTCAGGATTCCCAGGGGGCAACCCGGTACAAAGAAAAGACCCAGGTGGAGGCTTCCAAGGCCAAAACCAACTCTTGGATGGGTGCTGGCCCTAAAGAAAAGCAGGGCGTCCTGGTCCACACAGCCCCCTCCTGGCCAGCAGCTTCCTTCCTCTGGTTTTGTAATCTCTGCTAATTGCCAGGCACTTTCCATTGTGTGTGACTTCATCGTGGACATAAGGCTCCGTCAGTTCAGTGAGTGGGGACTGAGCCAAATAGTTTTCTGATCAACTTCATCCTCCAGTGCACTCTGGGCTGGCTGGGCACAAACAGGCCTTTCTTTCCGGGCTGCAGTCTGGCCCCTGATGAGCCTGAGGCCCCCTCTGCCGGCGGTAGGCCTCCATGGCACCCCATGCCTGCCTCGGGAGCTGAGGAAGTCCACTCAGCAAGTTAATAGCCATTCTTCCTGACACTACAATAACTGATAATGGAAAATTAAGACAGAATTTATCCAGCTGATCATACTTAACTTGGTAATGCCTGCTTTCCTCAGCTGAGCTACCAACATGCTGGTTGCCCGTGTGTTTGTGTACACAGTTAAGATGTGCTCTTAGTGAGGAGAAGCCATTTAGCTCTGCGTGACACATGGCACAACTTCCCACCGTGCTCCAGTGAGCCTCATCTTTGCAGGTGGATTTTCTGTTTGCTTCTCTACTCAGAAATCTTCCTGAGATCCAGTGTTGAACTTGGAAGCTGATCCGCAGCAGTTGAAAATGTTTCTGAATAAATGTGTGAACAATTCTATGAAATGACTCAGTGAGAGGTTTGTCTCTATGTGGGAAAAAGGTCTGGTTTATGGAGATATTGGAAAATTAAAAACGTATTGGGTTAGTCACCAATTTCTCTCAAAAGTCGTCCGACCTGGTTGGTACCTTCCACGCAGACTACCAGTTACCACTGTCTGACCTCTGTCAGTAGCCCCCCAGAATCTGTAAGCTGGGTAACATCCATCCTGTTGACATCTCACCAAGCCGAGCCAAGCAAAATAAAAATAGACCAATAACCCACCAATGTTTTTCCCTTCCTTCCTTCCTTCCTTCCTTCCTTCCTTCCTTCCTTCCTTCCTTCCTTCCTTCCTTCCTTCCTTCCTTCCTCTCTCCCCCCTTTTTACTTTACTTTTTGGTTGCCTCTCAGCCGGACTTCCTGAGGGACAGGAGTGACAGAGCTGTGCGCCTCCACCCTCGGCTCGGGACACCCTGACTCCCCACATGCGGTTGGAGCAAACAGCCTCCAGTGAGAAGGGGCCAATTCACAGGTCCCTTTGCTTGTCTTTGGGAGGCTGGGGGAGAAGGACAATAATTTCTGTGGTAATTGGCCTATTTTAAGCGGAAATCATTAGTCACAGCTTCTGAGCAGAGTAAGGCTCAGAGCTGCTGACTAGCCCAGGTCAGGGCTGGGCATGGACCCACACCTCTAATCCTCACCAAGGTTGGTGAGGTTTGTGTACAGAGCACTTTACCTGGTGACCCAGCTATGGCAGGCCAGCTGTCAGACTACTGGTGGTAGCAAGAAAAGGCCCCGCTTCAGGTCAAGGGGGCCCTGTTTTTCCAGGAAGGCCTCCTCACCCCAGCCTGCCTGCATGCTCCTCCAACTGTCCACCTGTGGAGACCAGCCCTGGCTGGCCTTCAGAGCCTGGCTTCTCGTATCAGGTCCAAACTCCTCTGATGGCTCCTGAGGCCTGCCTCCTCTCACCAATGCCCCTATCCAGTTTTCTTTGTCCCCTCTATCCTCGGGGTGCCCCAAGCAGCCCCCCTCCAGGCCTTTGCCTCTGGTGTCCTCAGCCATACCTCACATGGCCTTCCCTCAGTCAGTCTCCCCTCCAGCCTGTGGCATCCCGGCCCATATCCTGTCTCCTTGTCTAAGGAGAACCTCATCTGAAATGCCCCCTTTTCTGAAGCCCAATGGCACTTAAGAATCAGGTAGAACTCACAGGTGTTTCTGCCTCTGTAGCTCTGTAACAAACCCTTTTGGAGAGGCCCTGTGGGGATAGAGGATGAGTCATTTGTAGGCAGAGGGCTCCTGGGCACTGGGTCTTGGCTCCATTTTCCTCATTATCCATTTGGCAAAATACTCTACCTTAGTGGGTCTCAACTAGGGGGCGTTTTTGTCCCCCATGGGCCATTTGGCACTGTCTGAATACTTTTTTGTTGTTACAACTGGGAGGGTGCCTCTTGGGTAGAGGTTAAGGATGCTGCTAAACCTATTACAATGTACAAGACAGGCCCCAACAAAGAATTATCTGGCCCCGAATGTCAATAGTGGCAAACAGGGGACTTCCGGTCTAGATGGCAGTGTAGGTAAACGTGGTATCGCCTCCTCCCACAACCACATCAAAGTTACAACTAAATTACAGAACAACCATCATTCAGAACCACCTGAAATCAAGCTGAATGAAACTCCTACAACTACGGAATTAAAGAAGCAGCTGCATGGAGAGTGGTAGGAGGGGCGGAGGCGCGACGGGCTGGGCCCACACCCACGTGTGGCGGATAAAAATCAGGAGGACACCTCGGCTGGGAAGGTCCTTCCTGAGGACTGAGGGGTCCCCGTTCCACACCAGGTGCCCGCTCAGGGTTCCAGTGCCAGGAAGAGAGTCCCCATAACTTCTGGCTGGAAAAACTAGCGGAAACTGAGGCTCAGGGAAGCTGAGGAGGCTGGAGCCCCAGGCAGCTCCTTAAAGGGCCCGCGCATGGACTTATCGGACTCTCTCCCTCTAAGCTCAGAGGGGAGGCAGCTCGAGGGGCACCAGAGACATACAGGGAAGAACTGAGCTGTTTGGCACTGGAGCGAGGGCTGGAGAGTGGGCTTCCTCGGGGACAAACGTGCTGTCAGAGGCCTTTGTTCCTTTAGTGAGCCCTTCCCGGGGGCGGCAGACAGAAGCCATATCTGGGACTCCAGCAACCTGGCTCACACTGGTAGCCCCGCCCTGGTGACTCCCTGAGGCCCCGCCCCGCCCCACACAACTTTCAGGCCCACCCAAGCTGTTGCCAGTTGCTTAACCATAGGATTGGCCTGTCTTGGATCCTGCTTCAGGTTTTCCTAAACTCTTTCAAACAAGCAGCATCTGGTCTCATCTAGCCCCATACCTCTCGTTAAGTAATACACAGAAACAAACACAGGGAGGCAGCCAAAATGAGGAGACAAAAAAACAAAAAACAAAACAGGTCCCAAATAAAAGAGCAGAATAAAACCCCAGGAAAAGAACTAAGCGAAATGGAGATAAGCAACCTAACAGATGCTGAGTTCAAAATACTACTAATAAGGTTGCTCAATGAACTTAGTGAGAACCTCAGCGAACTTAGTGAGGGCCTCAAGAGCATAAAAAAGGACCACTCAGAAATGAAGGGTGCACAGTCAGAAATGAAGGAGGCACTAACTGAAATAAAGAATAATTTACACAGATTCAATAGTAGAGTAGGTAAAGCCAAGAAGCAAACCATCAATTTGTAATATAAGGAAGCAAAAAACACCCAATCAGAACAGAAAAAAAAAAGAACCCCCAAAAATGAGGATAATGTAAGGAGCCTCTGAGACAACTTCAAGTGTGCCAACATTCACATCTTGGGGGTGCCAGAAGGAAAAGAGAGAGAACAAGAAATCGAAAACCTATTTGAAGCAATAATGGCAGAAAACTTCCTTAACTTGGTGAAGGAAACACACTTACAAGTCCAGGAAGCACAGAGAGTCCCAAACAAGATGAACCCAAGGAGGCCCACACCAAGACACATCATCATCAAAATGTAAAAAGTTCAAGACCAAGAGAGAATCTTAAAAGCAGCAAGAGAAAAGCAGTTAATTACCTACAAGGGAGTTCCCATAAGGCTGTCAGCTGATTTCTCAAAAGAAACTTTGAAGGCCAGAAGGGAGTGGCAAGAAATATTCAGAGTGATAAAAAGCAAGAACCTACAACCAAG